CAAACCTTCCAAAAAAGGCCCATATGAGTCTAAACTCCTAGTATCCCCCTTAATAATAACCCCGTAAAGGCCCCCATGATAGTCCCCTATAAAGTCCTCTATGTAAGCTCCCTCAAGGCGCTTAGACTATGGCTCATATAAGGAAGCTAAGGGATTTTTATTGGATCCGAAAAACCACCCGAAAACAGACAGCATCACTGCGTTGGGGAAACGAGAGATTATTGGGAGTTTACATGGTTTGCATCCTTTAAAGAGTTCTGAGTAGTAGAAGATATAAATGCCAGTTGTCATGCTCAAGGCAAGAGCCCAAAAATGTCTGCAGCGGCTGGAAATTGAAAAGCCTTGAGCATTTTCATGCCTGGTAAGCCATCCGGCCAGAATGTCAAGTGGAAACTGGGCATGATTGCGTTTCTCGAGGAGGTTGTGAAGGAGGTGCGCAATCCCACATCTACAATGCGTTGCTGAGCATCGGGTGGCGGAAAATGGTGCCTTCCCAGCTATGCTGGGAGGGCACTGTGGCCAAAGCTTGCTGTGCAAGAACTGCCAAAAGCAGGCGAAAGGCACAGGCAAGAACCACTGCTAACAACAAATAAGTTACACCACATGGTTTCTCTCAAGTCTGTGAAGCTCCTGAACTGAAAACGCTTTGTGCGCGTGCGCCAGCCTGAAGCACCAGACCGTGCCAAGTCCTTATCGTAAACGTGCCCTTGAACGGCGAACGAGCAACATCGTGTGCGACCCTTCATACTAAAATGACAAGGATAGGATCAAGAACCTGCAAAGATAAGGACAGAGATGAGAATACTAAACACAGACTTCTTCCGACGATAATGGAAAGTCTAGCAACTCCGCATTCATCAATAGCCCGTCAAGGGTGTGCCTTGCTCCACCAGGATGTAGAAACCCACCTTGCCCTACATTGGGCAGCAAGGTGGGAACGGACCTCTACTACCTGGTGTTAAGCAGGGAATGAAGGATCCCAGCCGCAGTCCATGTAAACTCCCCCCATATCAGTTTCCATAGAAGGCGTTGGGCCCCTTAGACCCCCAAGTGCACATCAAAAGCACCCCGTTGTTGAAACACCCTTCCCAGAAATAGTACCCTCATAGTGCACTCCACTCAGTTCATTCCCTAAACCTTAAACCCCATGCCCTAAACCTCGAGTGACCTCATCCCCTATCTCCTACTGAGCACCTGGGCTTGCAGCACTGCAGGCACCGGGAGTTTACCCTCACCCTGCTCTCAGCGCGGCCCAGAAGGTTGTCCTTTACCTGAGCAGTTTTTTGGTGGTTGAGCCAAACGAGTTTCTATTTCACTTGTAAAATACGGTCATCCTATCCCGCATTGTGGTATTGCGGACTATAAGATCCCCGAGCAAAACACTACCCACTTGGAGTCGCTCAAGTCGGAGCAGTGTTCTGCGTAGATCGTCTGACACCGTTTACAGTGTCATTGCCTTTGCCATCTCCTTCACAACGGCCAAGATAGTAAGCAAAGCAGTAGCAGTACTTGGCATCAATCACACTATGGTACGGCATTCATGTCAACCAGCAGGTGCTGAGGAAATCCGGAAAGCCTTCTCGTCATGATAAAATGTGTACTAGTGTGAGCCACACTACTACGACAACTACTCCTACTCCTTGTGCTGGTGCTGCTGCTGCTGCTGCTGCCGCCGTTGCTGCTTCGCCTACTCAGCTTTTTACATCAGAGGCCGAGCAGCTTGCATCGCTGGCACAGCATCAAAGCTTGGCCAAAGCACGGCGGGCAGCCCAAACATAGCTGTCCGGAAGATTGCCTGGGAGTTTAGGATGTAAAAGCTTAGGGTTCAGGGTTCATGGTTTGAGGTTTCGAATCTAGGGTGTAGGATGCAGCAAGATCCCCACGAAAGGACCCCCTTTGTTCAAAGGACCATAGTCTTCAAGGTGCCCTTTTGGGGGTTCCATGTAAGATTGTGTGGGGCAACTCGCAGGGCTCAGAAGAGGGCAGGATTTAGGGTCTCGACCTTAGGGTTTGGGGCCAGGGCTTTAGGGTTGAAAGAATTTATAGTCTAGGGATTAGGGCTCAGGGACTGCAAGGGTTAGGGGTTTGGACTTAGAGGGGTTTTCTGAGAGTCTCATCTCGCAGTCTGACGTCGTCTTACTGCTCAACGAAATAGTTTACCAAAAAATGCCAGAATGGCGCTTTGCATCACGTCCTCTATGGCGGTTTCCTTAAATGGCGGGGACCCCAACGTAAACCCCCAAATACTATGATCCCACTAAGGGGACCCCAAAAAGGTACCCTTACATATCAGCCTTGCTTGCATGTGTTTCTTGGAGGCTCCCATTCCCCATATGATCCTATAAATCACCTTTACACACCCCTGAACGAACCCATTTTTGAGCAACAGCTAAGCCGGAATCTACACTGTAATAAAATACTACTCAGATAACCCCTGTATAATCCCAGTTTCCACTTCATTTTCCATGTTCTTTGCCATTTGATTCTCCATTATTGGGGGGGGTAATAGATACCCCTTTGTTGAAGCCCCATCTAAACCCTAAACCCTAAACCCCTAAATACCCACAAACACCGAGCCCTGGAACCTACAGTATATTGGGGTTTATATGGGGGATAATGAAAAGAAAATGGAAACCACCATAGTATGTAGGGCTTTATAGGGGTCATATAGGGTAATATAGGGTTTATAAACCAATGGTTCTTTCACCCCCACAATCCCTCCATCTTCAATCCCTGAACCCTAAAGGGTTTAAACCCTGACCCTAAACCCAAACCTAAAGGCTTGAGTGGGAGTTGCTTGCGGGTAGATGGAATGGGAACACTACATGAGCCATACTCTAAACCCCTAGTATCCCCCTTAATAACCCCTGTAGCGGTCCCCGATATAATCTCCTATATAACCCCCTTTAAGGAGTGTAGACTAAAGCTCGCATGGAATTACTCCCCTGGCAATGAGCTCCCAAGGTGCCAAATTGCCAGTTTAGGCTTCAGGGTTGAGGGTTTAGCGTTGAGCCTGATAAGTGGAGTCTAGCAGATGGATGTAGAGGCTCATCATTGAGACTAACAAGTTACCTTGGGAGACCCATATACCCTGACCAAAGCCATTAACGAAAAAAACAACTTCATACAAATCGCAGAAAGCCTTCTGTGGGCTATCTAGATCCTAAACCTGAAGTCACACACCCAAAAACTTGTTCAATCTAGGCTGCGCAAGTGCGCCTAAATATGCCCAACCCTACATGGGCATCTCTATAAACAGCGGGCCCTTTGGGTCCCCTTATAAACACCCAACTCCGGGAACTCAATACGCGAACCCTAAATTTTGAAAGGGGAGCCCTAAACTCTGAACGGTGTTGGCTCTTCCCACTGAAGGTCCAGAATAACAAAAACCCTGCTTACCAGCTGCAGGTATAAACAAAATGAAGATGCCATACATGTAGAACTAATGCTTTGCATAAACAGGCGACCCCCGACATAGACCCCAAAATCCTATAGTTCCCTAGCACCCCCAACTTTTGGCAAACCCAAGTACAGTTACTGAGTCGGTTATGATTTGGATTAGGGATATATAGGGCCCGAATATTATTACCATTATCTCTTGTGGTTGCTACCCTAAACCCTAAACCCTAAACCCTTTTATAGTGGGTGGGGGCCCAACCTGAGTTATAATTGCCCTGCACCTGCGACCGAAGGCACGCTCTGCGTAGCCGCTGGGCAAAGTCCGAAGCCTCACCTGGAAATATAGTTAGGGTTTAGGGTATTGTTGAGGGGTTTAGGGTTTAGGGTTTAGGGTCAAGGGTTTAGGGGTGTTTAGGGTTTAGGGGTTTAGGGTTTAGGGTGTAGTGGTTTAGGGATAAGGGTTTAGGGTTTAGGGGTTCAGGGTTTAGGGGCTCAGGGTTTTGGGGTTTTGGGTTTTGGGTTTAGGGCTTATAGGGTTTAGGGCTTGTGGTTTACTTTCAAAGTTTAGGGATTGTGGGTATGACCTGCAATAACGGAGGGAGCCCAATAACAAGGACAATAGCATTTGGGGGTCTACTTTGGGTTCCCCTTATTTTGGGAATGCTGTCCAGCGATACTACCCCAATGATGGAGAAACAGGCGCAGGAGAAACTGGAAAATGAATTGGAAACTGGGATATATAGCGGTTACATGTGTTGCCGGCTGGTTGAAAATTCAGAAGCTTAGATTTTCAGGGATCCCAAGTTTAGAACTCATTGCAAGGTTTTAGAGCTTTCGTTGTCCAAAGCTTATTATAATGTTTCAACACTATTTGTCTTAAGTTTAGGTGGAGGGGCTTTAGGTGGAGGTGTTTAGTCATGCAGGAGTTCACCAAGTCCGTGGCATAGCGATTGGGGACAATAAGGTCCTGCTCCCAATCCCCTCCCCCTCCCAGACCCCTGGGCGGATCTAGAAAGTAGAACCCCCTTAAAGGTTCCTAGAAATTACCCAATAGTAGTATAGGGTACCATATAGGGGTTCTACTTTCTAGATCCTCCCAGGGGTCTGGCCTGATAACCCCCCGATAAAAACGTCCCGCCTAATATGGTCTTATTATACTGGGAAGGTATTCATGATTAGGTGCTGTTAAGGGATTGGATTAATCATGAAAACTGATCACAAATCATCCCCTGTAATGGCAGCACATTCAGAATTGTCATTGTCTTCTCTCATACAAGCAATTAATTGGTAGGGACTGCAGGTTTGCGCACTCTAGGTTCTTCATTACATTAGAGTTCCCATGATGGCTCCACTTACGAAAGTGTCTTCAATCGCTACCGGCTATCAAGCAGCTGAGAAATGGCGTCCCTAGCTTCTCATGTTGAACAAACACTCCCTCTCCGCCAATGACCTCGTGGGGTGTTCCTAGGGAGTACTGTAAGGGAAGATATTATATAGGGATTATATCGTGATTATATGCCCATTGCTCCCTACTAACAACCAGTAAGCTACTACTATTTCCACAGCTGAACGACATTTACAGGCCACATTTTGCTCAACCATCACCAGGGCACCAGCTGCGAGGACTCCATGTGGGTAATTTGAGGTTTCCACACTGCGGCAGCTCCATCGGCCACGAATTTCCTGAAAAGCACCTGCCCACAGAAAGTGATAGGGTTTAGGGTTTAGGGTATAGGGTTTAAGGTTTAGGGTTTAGGGGAGACAAGCAAAAGCAATACCACTGCAAGCAACGGTCGTCTCTAGTGGGTTGCTGTTAAGGAACTTAACTTAAGTTGCTATATCGGGGAAACCATATGATGTAGTGTATATATATACCCATTATGGTAACTTAATCTAAGTTCCTTAACCCCCATAATTCCTCAAGCTTCCATTTCATTTTCCATGTTCTTTTCCATTTGGTTCTCCATTATAGGGGAGATAATATGGTAACTTAAAGTAACAGCAACCCAGTCTAAACTCAGTGAAGGCTGCCTTGATACAAACGGGCTTCCCTAAAAGTGGGGTGGGGGCATCCTCCGGGGCTCATGGCATGAGGCATTACTTGAGGGATCATGGGAAAGAAAATGGAAACTACTATACTGGGGTTATACAGGGTTTGGGGTTTAGGGCTGGGGATATATCGGGATAATGGAAAAAATGGAAACTACTATGTATATAGGGGTTTATAGGGATATTACCCCTATAATGGAGAACCAAGTGGAAATGACAATGGAAAATGAAATGGAAACAGGTTTTTCAGTAGTAATATGAGCTACAGTCTAGACTCCTAGCATCCGCCTTACCAAGCCCTATAAGACTCTCCTATACAATCCCCTAAAAACCCCCTTTGAGGAGTGTAGACTGTGGCTCATATGGGGACGACAAGGGGTCCCCCTGAAGGATCATGACACGACGCAGCCCAGCCCAGTCCTCCACGTTGCTTTTAGCCATCCACAACCTTTCCTTGGATGATATGTGGTACCGTCAAACATGATCCCCTTTATTTATCACTCCGCTCAAGTATGCAGAGGCCTTGAAAAGATGTTCTTCAAAGGAAGCTCCCGTCCTAACAGAAATATACAGGCCCAGTAGTGAGGCTATACTAGCACTACGATTTCAATTTTAGGGGGCTCTTGTCCGGCAGTATCCAAAGCATGCCATTCAACAACCGCCCTGTGCGCTCTGTATCCCCAAGCCCTAAACACTAAACCCTAAACTTAGGTGGACCCCCCACCCAGTAATAGTGACGATTATGGATAATAAGGAATATATTAGGGTCCTCTTATATTCCTCTTATACCACTATTACAGGGTGGGGGGTCCTCCAAACCCTAAACCTTGAAGGGCTCAACACAACCCAGCTTCTCTGTTGGTGTTGGGGTAAAGCTCACGCACAATGTCCTCAACATTCGTAGGGAACGATGCAATCGACCCAAGCAACGTTTAAGTAGTGCATTCCCCTCTAAGCATGATCAAGTAAAGTCTAAACCCCAAACCCCAGACCCTTTCGCATCCGGGCTCGGTACGCTTGCCGGAAAAGAGGACTTCCAAATCCTAAAACCCGTAAACCCTAAGGCCAAACCCACCCAGCAATACGGAAGCTGACAATCTTTTCCCTTGCCGATTCCCTACCAAGCACGGGGGAAACTAGCTGCATCATACACCCCTGTAAACCCATGCTACCCGTTCACGTAAAGTCCTTCTAATGGTTCTGAATTGAACCCTTAAAGTTGGACCAGTGTGTTTTGGGTTGAGGGCTTAGGGCTTAAGTAGGAGGATTGGGGGTATGCAGGGGGGCATATTGTGGAACTCTTCCAGGGGTCCAAGCTCGGGGGTCAAAATCGAAACGCTTTGACAAACTTTTTGGCATCTCCATGAACAACGGGACCCCAATAAACCCCCAAATTATACAACCATAATCCCTAAACCCTGAACCCTGAACCCGAAATCATTGGGGACCCCAAAATCAGGTTCCCCTATTTTGGCCAACCCTAAGCCTTAAATCTATATAATCTTTATAAAACATACACCCAAAACCCCTTTAAAAGGTACCCCCAATTTTGGGAAACCCTCGCTCTATAACCCCCCGTATAATCCCAGTTTCCATTTCATTTTCAATGCTCTTTTCCATTTGTTTCTCCATCATTCTTGGGGGAGTGGCCATTTTGGGAAACCCCTAAACCCCAAACCCTAAATATCCCTATATCATCCCTATATAACTCCTATAAACCAAAGCTATATAATCCTCGTTCCTAGTTTTGGGAAATCCTCATGTCCTCAATCTGAACGGGCTCCGCACGCTTTTCGAGAGCCTGCCATGCTTGCTCTTCTCGCTTCTGCCTGGGATATTGTTGAAAGGGTGTGGGGTGTTGAGATTGAGGTGCAGAGTTTAGGATTTAGTCTGGGGTGTTGGTATTGAGGTTTGTTGCGGGGTGTTGGGATTGAGGTTTAAGGTTGAGGGTGTGGAGTGTTGGGATTGGATTTGGGGGTTTTGGGTTTGAGGTTGACGTACTGTGAACAAAGATTCTGGTTGAAGAGGTTACAGGTTAGGAACTACCGCCACCCCATGAAAGTCTGTGATCGGGGAAGTATAATTCGATTGTTGCTTATTACAATTCTCCAACCGTTACTGACAGAGGGCAGCATCCAGGATACAGATATGGGTTTAGGAATTAGAGATTTGGGTTCAGAGTTTGCAAAATCAGGGGCCTCTTTCGAAAGGGTCATGATCACAGCGATCTTTAAATGTTTACGTGGCATATAAGGGGCCCCATCGGCAACTCCCGATGCTGAGGTAACATTACACGTGCCAATCTTTATCCTGTGTTGGGGTCAAGAATACATGAAAATCTGCCCTAAGCTATAAACCCTAAACCCTAAACCTGAATCTACTGTGTTCTTCAACAAGAACCAGCGGCCTGTGGGAGATGTAGCGCTGAAGGATATCAACACCTCGGTTGTGCATTTGGCCCTTGGCAGGAGTATTTCTCAAATTAGGGGTGCTTTTAAGGGGTTATAGGCTATAGGGGTTTGTTGTATAAGGGTTATCTAGGGTTCAAGGTTAGGGTTTCCCAAAATTAGGGGTGCCATTTTCGGGGTCCCCATGCTAAGGATTATGAAAATGTGTGGTCTGTATTGGGGCCCCCCTTCTTGGCGAAACTGCCATGCAAAGGTGCGGTGTTCTGCAAGACAATGGACGAATATCAAAATTTCCCAAAGCAAAACACAGACGCCATCTTGGATGTAAGCGCCATGACCAGGGTAGAGGCTTACGGGGTGCATATGCAGCATCTTCCGCAAGGACTCCATGTAGTCCTGGTCATGGAAAGGAGGTGGGGGGAGGGGTCACGTTCTACACAGGGAGCCAAATACCCTTTACTTAAGGAACAGATCCTAAATCATAATAGGGATCCTGGTCTCATGTGTTGGTACTCCTTGATAAAAGAGGGTCTACCCCTTCAACCCTCTCCCTTCCATGCCTTACGGGTGGTTAGGAAGGAGTAAGGGAGCATAATCCCTATGTACTAGATGCCCTAAACCCTAAACCCTAAACCCTAAACCCTAAACCCCATTAAACCCCAGTAAGATCAGTCCTTCATGCAGAGCACAAAAGTCGTGCCCCAGCCCAAGACATGATCTCCTGAGAAGAAGGGTTTAGGGTTTAGGGTTTAGGGTTTAGGGTTGAACCAGGTAAGAGCAAAGTCTCCCTGAAGTAGTAGAATATGGGGATTATATTGGGATAATGGAAAAGAAAATGGAAACTACAAGGATTATAGGGGCTTTATTTCGGATTATAGGGTATATGTGTCAGGGTTATATTGGGATAATGGAAAAGAAAATGGAAACTACTATTTAGGGTTTAGGGTTTAGGGTAGTCCCCCTTAAGTAGATAGAATATGGAGTATATGGGGATCGTATTATAACGTACCCAAAGCCATATTCTATCTACTTAAGCGGGACTATATGTTCCTTATACAAAACACTATATGTAACCAAAAGGAGGATATAATCTTACGCTATATTGGGGTCTGTAGTATCCCAAAATAAAATACTACTCTCCTGAGAAGAGGGAGTGCTCCTCCTCAAGTAAGAAGCCTTGGGCGCAGGCGTGGTTTTAGGGCTCAGGGTTTGGCGACTATACCAGCGATGGTAGGAGAATGTCAATGCAGAGAATATTGAGTGAATGGAGTGGTGGTTTTAAAGCCGGTGAGGAGATTAAAATTCTCGGATCTATGGATTTTTGGTGTTAACAGCTTGGGCTTACATTGGGCCGGCTCTTCTCAAAAACGGTCAAAGGGTTTCCCACTGCACAGCTAGGAAGCACATATGATCTTCTGAGTGTCCCGGCATATGCAGAGCGGTCAAGGTGGCGCCTTCTGTGGATATGGTATCCCCTGTGTCTAAGGCTTGCCAGGGATACTCCCCACTGCGAAGGCGATCCAGCAAGTCCTGGGAATTCCACACGAAGTAGAACTGCCACTGCAGTTTCTCCCCCACATCCTTGCCTGGGCTATACTTCACCCTGTCTCTTGCCCATTCCAAGTCGAGTGTGTCAGGCAAGGTCTTGGGCGCAGGGTCTTTGAGTGGATTGTATCGAGGTCGGCCATCAAATCCTTGCAAATACTTCAATTGATCTCGCTTCTGGAGCTCTGCTATCAATGCAAAGCTCGCACTGGAAAACTCTCGCGAGTACACGGGAATAGGGCCATACTTCTCTTGCAGTCTTCCCACATTGCCATAATGATCATGATGCATGTGAGTAATTACAATTCCATCCAAGCCCTCCACTCCAAGCTCCGCAAGGCATCTGCCTGGGCTGCTGTTAAGGAACTTAATTTAAGTTCCTATACTGGGAAACCCATACTATTTACTGAATATACCCATTATGGTAACTTAATTTAAGTTCCCTAATTAATAGCAACCCAGCTGCTTAAGTTCTCCATGAAGGCGTCAGCACCGAAGTGCTGCTCTCCTGTGTCAATCAGCATGCGCCGTCGGCCTGTGCCCACCAAGTAGCAGTTCGTTCCGTTCAATGTGAAAGATGATGGGTTCTGTGCCAGGATGCAGGCGACCCTCTCAGTCAGCTGCTCCCAGTCTGGCTGCGGCTGCAAAGCACCGGTTCCTTCAAACCGATTCAAGCCAACAGCAACCACATTTCGCCGATTTCCCGGCGCTTCCTTAACGGGTTGCTCTGAAGCGTCTTCGACATCATTTGGAATAGTCGAAGCACATCTCTGAGCCTGCAATTTGGCTCTTGCCTTGGAGCTTCGACGGAGGCGAGATAGCACTTGGTTGTCAGTGTACGAATCAAACTCCAAAGGGACACAGCAAGGACAGCCCCATTCCATCGCGCGGTTTGGGGGTGTCCTGGTTCGGCAAAAGGTGTAGCTGAGACTGCTGCGGAAGCTGACCCGACTTCCCTGTTCTTGCAAGGTAAGGTTCAGTGCAACTTGCAGGGCATTCTCGCACTGGTGCAGCTTGAAGCTATTCAAGCTCTTTTTTGCAGACTGCGCAAGTGGTGCTGCAGCAAAGTTGCTCTCGGCACCCACGCGGTTTGGCGCGATCGGTAAAAGAAGTTTTCAGACGACACCCTGGCGTATGTACATGACTAGCCAGCGGTCCAGGAAGTACTTCCGGGAACCGCTTGCGATCCGTTACCCCTAACCTTGGGCACCACAAGCTTTTCATTAGTTGATATGCGGAAAGAACGTCTGGTTCAATTCTGGAACAGCACGGGATCACCGAAAGGAAGTGCCTGCAGAGCCGGGGCAGACGCTGCTGATCTGAGGTGCCCGTTCACCAGCGCCAGTTCCTACATAGGGATTAGCAACATCTAGGATCTAGGATAATAGGATAGATTAGGGATGACATCAGGAATTTCTGGAACCTCCCACATCCTTCACGCCCTCGACAGGCTTCACGCCCTCGACAGGTCGCGCGACACTCTCTGATCGACAAAGGCTGCCGCCGCCGGTCGCCCAAGGCTACATTCCCTGCAACTGCGGTCTTGTTGCCATCTCGACATGAAATCTCTGCAGGCTGCAGCGAACCAAATGGAGGCACTGCAGGAGCGTCCCTGCTCACAGAACAAGGCCTCATGTCCAAGCTGCTCGAATTCCAGGTCGCAACGAATGAGCGTAGCAGTACAGGCCATCAAGATCCAGGGATGTCCTCATCAGACACCTCCACGCACACAGCCTGCAAGTCAGCATCCTTGCCACCAGATGAACGGAACGCATGTTTTTCTGTGCCAGATGTGGATTCCAAGGAGTGGTCTGGTGCACGCCGGCTGCTGCTGGCACTTCTAGTTTGAAGCGGGAATTTATGTGGCTCTTCTGGTTGCTGTTGCGGCGGAGCTTTCTGCATTTCCATCTTGGCCTTCTGCCTCAGGCGTTCTGCCTCTTCTTGAGCCCATGGGCACAGCTCCCAGAAGCCACACCTTAGATGTGCACCGAAATGCTCAACACGTCATGCATGCTATCTCAGTCATGGCACTGCTTTGAAGTCCTCAGCTGAGCACGAAAGACACTGCAGCCAAGTGCCAGAAGGCACAATTTACACCTTGCTCGGAGGTTCCCGTTTGCAAACAAGTCACCCCATCGGGCAGCATGCCAAGTAGTAGCGTCCTGTCCGCACATGCCATCGCAGCCACATAATAAGGCTCTGCTCCGTAGCAACACCCAACACTGCCTCATCAACAGAGGCGAAACACGGAACCCCAAACCATAGGAATCTATGAGTACATAAATACACACGCATGACATGTATTTACACGCGTATCTATGCATGCATGCGCGCATGCATGTATGTATGTGTGTGCATGTGTACCATTGTGTAAACTCCATGCATCCTCCTTAATAACCCCTATACTCCTATACTACTCCCCTATATAATCCCCCGTATAACCCCCTTAAGGAGTTTATATCATGGCTCATATGTTGAACAGTCGCCCCCTGCCTGCTTTGCTTTTGAGCGAGCTAGGCCTGCCTTGGCGCAAAAACACAACTTTCTGAAAGGATTTGGGGGGAGGTTCCCGGGTACCTTAAACGGGCGTTCTACAATGGCTGAAAAGGGGTTATATAAGCTTTAGGATATTCCTCTCAATAGTGGACATCAGATGCAAAGGAAAATGGGAGTTACCATAGGGTTCAAGGACAAAAATGGAAAATGAAAGGATTACGCAGTGGTTGACAAGGACTAGAGTTTCCAACAGTTCGGGGTCTTTTAGGGAGTCCCCATCATAAGGGTTACAGCATATTAAGTTTTATGTTTGGGTCCCCTTTATCAGGGAAACTGCCATGTCTTAAAGCCTATGAACCCTGGGATCTTTATAGGCCTGCCATATATACTATATGGTCCCTAGAAGGGCCGATATTCAACGAATATCGAAGTCCAGTGAGAGCTGCTAGGAGATTTTGAGGTGGGTCGACGGTTGAGGGTTTAGGTTGTGGATTTAGGGTTGGGGGCTTCCATTTCTAGAAGCCCCGGAGGCTGAGAGGGTTACGGGTTGATTTCAAGGTGTCTGGCTTGATCTGGGGATTGAGCTCGTGGAGGTTTTCGAATGGGACTCGAAATTTTAATAGAATTCTGACTGTTTTCTAAAACATTTCAAATGCATCTGTAATGCTATTCTAATGCAGCTTTTGAGGTATGTTAGATAGACTGCCTCTGTCATTCGCCCCGCACCCCGCCACCCTTCCGCCTTTCGCCACATCCACCCCCAACACCCCCCCAACACCCCCCCACATGCCCACCCTCCCCCCACAAGACCGCCGACACACCCCTCATTCTGCAGCATGTCTTCTCCATGGCTCAGCACCTGAGCGCCTTGGCATTACAGAGTAGGGGGTGCCAAGTTGACTGGTCCAGAAATTTGATGCCCTTTTAAGGAACTTAAATTAAGTTACTATATTGGGGAAACCCTATGATTTACTATATATACCCATTATGGTAACTTAATTTAAGTTCCTTAACAGCAACCCAGTTTATTGCCAATGTAATGCTTCCAAGGGCTTTCCAGGGGTATGTTCCGGGGGTATGCTGCAGAAAGCCTTGAGTAGGGGGCCCAGACTTCAAACCCAAACCCTAATCCCCAAATCCAAGACCCCCCTAAATCCTGAATCCCCAACCCTAAACCCCAAACCCTAACCCCCAAAGCCTGAACCCTAAACCCATGTTGGTTAGCTAAGCTTAGAAAGGACACCACAGTGGCAGTTCTTCTGGTGTCGGGCAAGCTCCGATCGAGACATGCGAAAGGTCAACGACAGGCGCACGAGGCCTGATTCGGGTTTAGGGTTTAGGGTTTGGGTTTAGGGTGTGGGGTTTGGGGTGTAGGGTTTGCGGTTTAGGGCTTAGGCAAGTTTAGGCTTTAGGGTTTTAGTCCCCTTAAATATGGGGAGACCCCAATATAGACTCCCACATTCTACAATCCCTATTCTTGGAACCTCCAACAAAGTACCCCTAGTTTTGGGAAACGCCTATGGAATTATTCAAACATGATCCCTCTGCAATTGTCAAGGGCCCGTGATCTCTGCACAATCTCCCCGAAGCCCATGGATTTTGAAGGGTACCCCCGTTTTTTGCAACCCCTAAACATCCTTTGATCAAGTCTGCAAAAGCGATCCTGCTATGGAGTGCTTTCCGATGGTCGAGTCAGACTGTCGTGGAACCGAATGCTGCCACTCTTCTTGACAATCATCCCACATGATGATAGCCTCAAACTCAAAGAGAGACAGCGGCGTCTGCATTGCCCACCACATGTCCAACACCCCTCAATCAAGGAGAGTCGCTTGAGACTTCCTTGCTTTCTTGGGTGCTTGATCTGCTTCTATACTACAGGATGTAATAGAGATGCTCCTTGACAAAGGGTTGTCGGCCTACCTCAGTTGCAAAGCAAGCGTAAGTAGCCGACGGTATTGTGTGGCATTGGAATGGACACCACCTTCAGCTGCTCGGTAACGGCTCAAATCTCATGTTGTTCATGCAGGGGTCTACGCAGACACCTGTGGGGGTGTAGAGTGAGTACATGGAGCTTTGTGGTTGGCTATGTAAGGTGAGGTCGCTTCTTGGGGGCTCGAAAAGCCTGGCACGTCATATTTCATGACACAATGATGCCAAAAGGGGTGGCGCACAGCTTGTGGCAAATGCCCACTTGTGGAGACAGGGTCTATAATCAGGGGGCTCAAAACGTGGGATGAAGGTAGGTGGGGTATAGGAAATAAGCCCCAATATAGTTGAATCTACAAGAGGGATCCTTGAACCCACCTAGCTTTATCCCACCTTTTGAGCCCCCTGATATAAGAATGACTTATGAGATATGCGCTTTATCCAAGCAGCAAGCGACTGCGTAACTTGGTCAGGAGATGTTGAATCATCAGTAGCACGGCGTAGGCAGAAGCGGCGACAAGATCCAAGCGACAGACCCACGATAATCGGCCGCGGTCCCAGAGAATTCAAGAAATCTGAATGCCAGCCAACACAGGCTTTCCCATTGTCATAGCGGTTTCCCAATGCCAAAGTGGGGATCCAGTTTGTTTGCGATCGCCTTGTCCGCACCAGGTCCTGCATGATGTTTCCTGCTTGTTGAAGAGCTGCAGATGGTTCGCACTTCACACGGCTCTCCTCCTTGCCATGCTCATCATCTCCCCTTGAAGTTGCTTGGGCAATGTCACTGCTGAACTCATAAATCGCGGAAGTCCGTGGAGTCATGAACTCTTTTCCGCGCACGATCCTGGGTGCCGCTTTCTTCCACTGTGACTACTACGTGGGCTACTAGAACCCAGAATGGTGTCCAGGGCCAGCCAGGAATCCAAGAGCTGGAAGCCCAAGCAGCAGAAGATTCCCGCAGCAATTCAGCCAGGAGCCTACAGGAGGACCAGGGGGGAGGGGTTGTATGTGAAGACTATATACATGCACACGAGCCCTACACCGCCTACCCTACACCCTGAGCCCTGAACCCTGAACCCAAAGCCCTCAAACCTTAACCCTAAGCCCGTCAAGCAGCTCATCTGCCAACTTTGCAGGCAAGGCGTGACGAACAACGTGAACTGGAGCCAGGGTGGCCAACTCCTCAAAGATAGGGGTTTAGGGTTTAGGGTTAATACCAATAGCAACAATACTAATCATAATGGCCATAATACTAGTAACAAGAACAGTAATTTATGATACAATAATCATTAGTAGAATCATGATGGAAACAATGCTCAAAATTTCTTTTCTTGCAGCATCCCCTCCCTCACATCTGCATGGCAAGGCTACTTTCCTCGTGAGCACTTCCAAACACCTACCTTGCTGTGGTTAAGTGGGGAATGAGGGAATTATTACATAGGTTGGGCCCTGCCCCCACCCAGCAACAGTTGGATAATATTCATATTATAGTTAT